TCCAAACAAATTTAATGTCAAGTTGTCATGACAAAGACAACTTCTGGTAATGTCACTTTAATTAATGTCAAGTTGTCATAATCAAGACAACCCAAACAATGTCAACTTGTCATTACAAAAACCGAATGACACTTAATGACAGCATAAACGTTTATGACATGTACATAATGTTTATGACAAGTTCATGACAGTATCATGTCATAGTTATGACAGTGTCATGTCACCCTTATGTAGATACCTTCAAGTAAAGTGTTACCATATTTTCTACTGTACCATTTTGTCAGTAGTAACTGCCTTTTTAGGGGGCCAAGCCCGCGGGGGCCCGGGGAACGCGTATGCAAGCAGACGCGTTTCCCAGGACAAGCGGTGCTGGGAACCCTATTGTAATTGTAAGGATTTTTATTATTTTCCATCTCTATTTTTATTTTTCCGTTGATGAAAGTGTCGCTGCAGGCTACACCGTGCATGGGAGGGTGGTGCAATTTGGAGGGTTGATCCAGACCCCTGCAGGTACCTCAGATGCAAAAAATGACACATGTACGCCTATAGGGGGCGCTATAACTAAGGCCAACGGGTTTTGGTCTATAACTTCCAAACGATATGTCGCACATTCAAAAGCCTAACTCTGCATTCACACCAAAAGTGTCATGAGCGCCAGCGGTCGCTCAGGTCGCTGGCATCGTGCTGCCTGGCAGCTCTGGTGGGGCTTGCAGAAGGCTGCCAAGGGGCGGGGCTTTCAAGCTGCGCTGCAGATGTGTTGTGTGCATTCTAGTTAACCCACCTGTTCATCCAGCTTACATTTTATGTGCTTTGCATTTGTTTACATGGATCTACACGTGTATATGAGCATATTTTACATACCAGCATAATTACTAGCTTATTTAATGGCTTTATCATTCATTTTATCCATTCTAGTTAACCCACCTGTTCACCCAGCTTACATTTTATGTGCTTTGCATTTGTTTACATGGATCAACATGAGCCTATTTTACTTACCAGACAAACCAACAATTTCAGATACCCTTTTCCAGGCATCTGACTTCTTCTGGATGTCTCTGTAAATAAACAGAGACACATCATATAGTTCTGGGAAACCGGAGACCGCCACAATCAACTTCTCCTCCATTTTCGTCTTTCTTTTTCTTTCACTGTCCCCCCTAGAATATTCATGGTCTGCAATTGGCTGCTGCTCGCTGCTGCTTCTGCGGCGTCGCTGCTCATTTGCACAAAGTTGAGCTTCTCTCAACTTCACAGTGACGCTCCAGTCGCTGGCATCGCGCTGCTCGCTGATGCTGACGCTCCAGACACCCTTCGTAGCAAGCATACATTGAAAATGAATGGCTGCTGGCCGCTTATGACGCTCATGACGCTTTTGGTGTGAATGCACAGTTACATCCTTGGATTCCTTGAATGGAGCTGCATCATTTCCGCCTATACTTTTTTCCCGCCAAAACTGCAAAAACTGCAAAACCCACTTTTTCAAACTCCTCCTAGGGATTTCGTCCGATCTGCATGAAACTTGGCACGTACACTCCCAACATGGACCTGATCTAAAGTTGAGAAAATTTTTTTGCTCGGTCCAAAAATGTGCGAATTATTAACAAACAAATTTTTGTAGCTAGCTATAAAAAAGCGAACTGTGCCGTATCTCTGTCAAATTACATGCTATCAACACTAAATTTGAGCTGGATTTGCTGACATAGGCCCCGCCCACTTCTGCCGCACATTTCCTTTGCTAAGTTGCTACACATCCAAAACCTACTTTTTCGAACTCCTCTTACAGATTTTGTCCAAACTGCATGAAACTTGGCACATCAACAGTTAATATGGACCTGATCTAATGTTATCAAAAGAATTGTGCCCGGTCAAAAAATGTGCGAATTATTAACGACAAGAAGATTTTGCTAGCTAAAATGCACATATTGTTGCATATTTTTGTCAGACTAAATTATATCAACGTGACACCTAACATACTTGTTCCGGAGGTCGTTCAGAGGCTCAGTGCCAAATTTGGCCCAAATTGGCCACTAGTGGACGCTGTAAACCCAGAAATATCACGTTCCATAAAAGTTGATCGGATTTGTACAAAAAAAATTGGTGAGCATGATGTGGGGACAGTCCTGAGGCCAGCCACAAAGTTTGGTAATGATTGGTCAAAGTGGGCGTGACTTATTGCAACAAATACATTCAGCCTTTAGTACTTCCAGTGCACTTCCCATTACAGTGAATACTGTAGCTCAGACGTTGGCCTGTGTCCTAACGCTCGCCCCAAGCCCCTCGTCCTTTGGGGCCGACTATCGTGGGCTCCATGGGGCATGGAGGCCGAGCTGCGTGGGGAGACTTGGACCCCGTTCATAACTGCTTGCAGTTCTAGTTTTGTATTGTTTTTCTTTTCTTTTACTCTTTGTGTGATTAACAACAGACTGAAATCACTGTAAGTTTCAAACCACATAGCACTGGTATAACTATAAAGGAATCTACTGACTTTTTATTTTTATTTTCCAAATGGAAGACCATGCAACTGATAGCTGAACATAAAATTGTTATTGTTGTAATCTGATTTTGTCCTACTGCACATTATGTAAACACATGGAAAATCGAATTTTAATTCAATTCACTGATTTTATTTTAATATTGGCATCCCTGGGCATTGGTAGTATGCACAATTAACTTAAATTCCAGTAACAATTTAAAGAGATATCATTCTTTTCATCAAACATTTAAAGATATATCTTTTATGAAAAAGTGACTTGCAAAAACTGTTTAACCCAGCCAGTAGCGAGCTCGTCAGTATATTTATCTTTGGGTGGAGAGCAGAGGGTTGAGGAGTGCCTTGGCTCTGGGGCAGGGGCTCTCTTTGCGGCATGACTTGGTGACACCCCCTGCTGAGAATTATCTATCTGGGTGTTTGGTTTCACCCACAAACCTTTAACATCAGAGCCTGACTGGAGCGCAAGGCAGCCAGGGTTTTCAGAGGAAGATCCTGCACAAAGAGGCCCTACACAGCAGGGAAGCGGTCATTTCAGTCAGTGCTAGTAATGGTGGCAACATGCCATAATCTAACCACACAAATAGTGAGTCATGTCTCATGAAGCCTGAATTTCAATTTAAAGAAAAGTCTTAAACTGTTTATGTCTTTTGCTTTCAGAGAGTGAGGTGTTCAGATGGATACCAATCTCATGTCTTTGTGCTAAGTATAAAGCTGGAGTCAAGTTCTGGTTAGCCTAGCTTAGTGTAAACACTGGAAGCAGTTAGCCTGCTTTTGTGCATAGCAAAAAGAAAAAAGCCTACCAACACTTTCTAACACCTTAATTAGCAGCTCCAGTCTGAACCCCAAATTGCTCCATGGGTGTGTGAGTGTGTAGGAATGTTTCACTGAGTAGCAGGTGGGACCTTGTATGGTAGCCTTGGCCACCAGTGTGTGAATGGGTGAATGTGACATGTAGTGTTAAAGTACTTTGAGTAGTTGTAAGACTAGAAAGGTGCTATACAAGTGCAACTGCATTTAATCTAATGATTGATATGTTCTTTTGATTTAGCTTGTGGACAGAAATGTAAAGCAGTAATTTATGATTTAGACCTATTAAGGCAAACCTGCACTAAAGAGAAATACTTTAGCCTCTCACAAAGTTGTTAAATTATGTAATTACCTCAAACCCACAAATTTTAATTGTTACATTTGTCCTTCTGCACTAATTAAAAAAAAAAAAGATGCAGCGTGTTAAACCGTCAGCTTTATAGTTGTTGGTAGGTTTATCTTCTTCTTTTCAGTGAGCCAGGCTAGCTGTCTACCTCTGCTTCCACTCATGATGCTATGCTAGGCTATCCACGTCCTGACTTCAGCTTTGTACTCAGTCTTGATGCTAAGCTAGTCTAACCATGTCCTGACTCCAGTTTTGTACTCAGTTAATCTTCTCACTGTCAAATAGAAAGCAAATAAGCATATTTCCCAAAATGTAGAAGTGTTCTCTTAATATTGGAGCTGCTGCTGAAATACACTTTACACAAAAACAATAAATAGCTTGCTGGCTTTTTTAAACAGTGAAAATGTTACCTCCACTGACTCTAACCCCCCAGCCCCCATGAGTCTCACTATAGGATCGAGGCCTGGAGTGTGAGCAGACACTGGGAATAGACCTCCCATACAGACTGCTGCAGGGGGCTCTGAAAAGTGTATGAAAAATAAATTCAACAGCTGTACAGCTTGTTAGTAAAGGGGGCTGGGCTTCCTTGCAGGAAAAAGACATCAAACCCAAATTCCCCTCTGGGTCCTTCTTCCTCTGAACTCTCCATCTTATCATCTTACCATCTTATCGAGCCTAGAACATTTACTGCGCATTCATGTATATCACAACATGATGTATTATCAATAGCAACTCATAACATCATTTCAGGATGCACTGTACTATTATTTTGAGAAGCTTTTGTAAAGACAGTGGCAAATGCTTATGTCAAAAAAAAACACCCATCTTTGATTATCTTAGCAGAAGCAATTTAATGATTGAAAGATTGAATAATGCTGGAAATGGACTTAGCTATCTAAAAAATCCCCTTTACACAGGAAGCTCTCATTTTTGGCATCCCACACACAGGCTCTCATCATGCAGTGCTCCAGCAGGCCGCCAGTAATTGCCTTGTTTTCTCTCAACTAGCTGAACCCCAGAGACATTGGGCCGAAGAGCTGCAGAGATTTACATGTGCTACTCATCAGTGTGCTACCAGCCATCTGTCCGTCCAGCTTTTGTAGTAGTTTGTCCTCTTCCAGCTTGACTTTTCTACTCTGTCTGATATTATAAAACTGTAGTACATTTGGACCTGTTATATGCTGTAGGATGGACAACAGAGCAGGTTCACTTTGTGTCATAATATTGACATTTACATGTATTGCAATGTAATTATAGGCAGATCCTAATTATTTTTATAATATAAATACTGATGATGAAGTGCTTTTTGTGAAACAGTAATGACAAAGGATTAGTTCCAGAATAATGTTTTCATACCCTGTGTGTATAGTCTCCACATATGCCCTGGAGAGAAAAGAAAAATCCATCAGAAATAAAGGAAAACACATACAGTAGAGATATTACACTACCACAGAATTTACACATAGGATCAGTTGTCTTGGGTGTGCAGTTCAGCCAGTGAAAACAGTTTAATGTGTTCTGTGCTGCTAGAAGAGCTTTGCCAAGTCTTAGAAAGCACCCTGATGATGTCATAATGATGTCATCGGGGGGAGACAATTTTCTAACAGAATCTGCATATCTGCATTACAAACTGAGGGCATTACATTTAAAAGAGGTGTTTACCGGACAAGGAGGTTTTAACAAAAGGAAGCTACCATCTTGCATGATGGGAAATGTGTTTTGGAGCTTGGCCTTTACCAGCGACTAAAAGTGAGGACATCTCAACCACTACTGCTACTTCAATTTTGAACTTGGTTTTGTAATCCCTTTCTTTTCAGTCCCCCAACTTTGTGAAAGTGCAGTGCTAATTTTCTGGAGTATCTCTTTCAGAATAACTAAACAGTAACATCTAAGTAAAGGATCTGAATACTTCTCCCACTTCAGCTGGTGAGTATAGTAATGTGTTACTTGGTCAGATTGTGTAACTATTGCAAACAATGTCTCACCTTCTCCCCTTTGGGTCCAGGTTCCCCCTAGAAACAAAAAACCAAACAGGTGAATGTGAAAAGTGAGTGATTAAGTAGTTAGCTTATTAGCAGGTTACTATGTGAGGACTGACAAAAGACTTAAGAAACTTACAGTGAGTCCTTTGGCACCACGCTGACCCTAAAAAACAACAGCAACACAGTCAGTCTTGATGTGATTAAAGCAAATATTTGCAGCCTCTGACATGACTGAACACAAATGCCTCCAATAAACATGAGTGAAATGAGTAAACATGTCAAGGTATCATTCAAACTGACGGATTAGCTGTTACACTAGTCTGTTCCAATGGCTTGTAATGTGTAAAATGACTCAGTTTGAATTCCCAGCGGGCCTTGGGGTGTGCCCACTGTAAGGAGCTATCAGAGCTCAGCGACTGGTTGATTAATGAACTCAGGGAAAAGGCCCAGTAGGACACATCCAGTGCACTCTTTGTGGTGACCTCACAGGCTCAGCAGCTCTACAGCCACTTTGTGAAGGCAACAGCATTGCCTGACAAGCACTTAAAGCAAAACAAAGCAAAATGAAAAAAAATAAAAAAATAAATAAAAAACAGTCTTCCTTAGAGTAATGGCCCTCAAACAGAGGCATGCAAGGATCTACTGAAATCAGCAATGGCCATGACAGAGCATCAACCTCAGCTTGAGAACATTGAAATGACTTACACCACAACATCTTGCTGAAAGAACAGAGCTCTCTTAGGCTGCCCTTACACTACCATGTCTTGATGCCCAATTCCGATTTGTTGCCTATATCTGATTTTTCCTGACTGCTGTTTGTTATTCACCTTATTTTTCACGGAGACACGGAGGCAAAACAGAACGCAGCCAGCTTCCGGTTTTTTTGTGCAACACTTCCGGTCCAGCACTCTTGACCACTGTGTAAATGTCCCATGGTATTTGCTACAGTGACATTACTGCGTGCATGGAAATGTTTACATTACTGAAAGCAATTTTAAGGACTAACTTTAAATATTTGAAGTTAATTGTTAAAGAATGAAACAACTGGAAAGCTGGCGCTGCTCCACATAATTTAAAAGGTAACTTAGCCTACACAGAGCGGGGGAAATGTCCGTGCAACTGCAGACGGGTGCGGCTGGATGATTGATAGGTACATGCTGATTCGGGTGCTATCAGAGCCGATCCGTGCATCACTATGGCTTAATAATCAACTCAGTCAATAAAAACAACCCGTCCTGTGTTAGGAGTGTATGTCACTGACAGAAAAAAAGAAAGAAAAATAAAAAAAAGATAGAAAAGCAGCGTACACCTCACATATTTATTTCTCACAGTTGCGCACGTTTGGCTGGCAAGCAGAAGCGCTGTCTGTGTGTCTGTGTGCTGTGGGTGCGAGCCGCAGCTTCAGCTGTTCAGGCAGAGAGGCTGTGTAGCCCGGTGTGTTTTTTCGCTGATTCGGTTCTGCAGGTTCTCTGCTGGTACACTGGAGACGGGGATCAAGCAGTTTGTCTCACTCGGGATAGATTGTGCTTTTTTGGTTCATAGTTTTTGATTAATGTGTGATTTATTCTGCTTTCCTTCCTTTCCCTCGCTCTTGATCTCGTCATCAAAATGCTCTGTCGTCGCATTATTCATGATGTACGACGTGGATTGCCAGGAAATATCCGATCTGTCTGTTTAGATTACAGACCTATTGGCAGATATCTGATTCATATCCGATATATTTCCACATACGAAGGAGGCCTGAATCTGATCTGACAACATCCGATATCATGCGTTTTTTTCCTGTTTACACGTTCATGTTACAGATCCGATCTGTGCCACTTGAGAGGAAAAAATTGGAATTGGGTCACTTGAACCATGTAGTGTAAAGTAGGCTTTATACTGCACAGAAAGGTCATGTAAATGGCAAATAAACTTTGGTAAGGTATAGTTAAGGCCACACACTCGAACAAGTACAAGGACTCATTTAAGTTTAGATATAGATTGTGATTAAGTGCAATAAAAACAGGAATGTTAGAGGTCTCTGACAGAACACAAACACCAGCCTTCACACCTTCATTTCCACCTAAAGCACATACAGGACACATGACTTCCTGCATTAAAAATGAACATGAACATAAACTGAAATAGCCTGTGGAAGCTGAAAATCTGCATGCTGGCTCTGTAACAGCTGAGAGTCAGAGTGACTCTTCTTCAGATTGTTGGATCAGTGGAATATTGGTTACAAACGATGCTGAAATGCTTTTAAAAACCTCACCTGCAAGATGATGCTCATTGTATGGCTGATAAGGAATCAAATGAGCTGGGGTATCAAGAGTGAAGAAACTGCTTGAGGCATTTAATGTTCTCAAACCTCAGTAAGCACATTCTAAAATCCCTTAATGCCCATTTCAGTAAGTCAGAGTTTTACCTCCTGACCCTGATTGAAAGCCAGAGTGGGCTAACAGCTCCCATCTGTCTTGGCTTTTTCCCTGCATGCAAACCACTGTGAGTTCATGACTGTGTTGCATAAATCAGGCCATCTCTCTGTTTTTCTTCTGACTTTATGGATAAAAATTAAGAGGCAGACAAAGTGACAGCACAACAAAGGTGCAATGCAACAATTTAATTTGGCTCGTTGGTGTAATAGTTGGTAATAGTAAAACTATTCTTATTACAAATTGAAGGAATGCTTACCTGGTCTCCCTTCGGTCCAATCTGTCCCTGTGTGAACATTAAAACAGCGAGTGCAGTTGGTAAAATAAACAATCAGTTTCAGCAGATACACTTCTTAGAAATATCCATAGCATGTTGAACGCTGCTCTATAATAACAGCAATGACACTAATCGAGATTTCATTACAATAATGACCATAATCCTTCTTAACTTATTTATACTCATTATCATTACCACATGCTGGTTTCTGGGCACTGAAAAAAAATAGTTATTTCTCTTTTTGATTTGTAGTGGGGAAAACTCACAGGCTTGCCATCCAACCCTATTGGACCCTCGGATAAAAGAAGAGAAGGAAATCTTTGAGTGCATATAAAGATCAGTAATCACAAATAATTCCACCAACAACAACTGGTCCCATCACAACATCAATTGAAAAAAATGGCTATTTGCAAATATTAATAAATAAATATAGTGATCTCCAATCACTATATATTCAAGAGTTATTCACAAACCACTAGTTAACTATTTATTAGTTAGCAGTTAGGTTATGATTTGTATCTTACTCATTTCATTAACACTAATAACTCTTTTGTGTACTGTAATTACACTTTTCTGTCTTTTGCTTGTTTAAGTAACATCAAGAAAATGTCTAGCTTTGATTTAACACAAATCAACAAAGCATCATTTACAGTATCAACCTGAAGACAGCATGCTGATGACTTACTGGAAAGCCTGGAAATCCTCTGGTTCCAGGTTGTCCCTGAATAGATACAGAAAAACAATCAGTGTGGTTGTTTGTAAGTTCTTCTGAAAGTCCCACATAAAATCTGCCAGAGGCAGGTCAGTGAGAGAAGATACAGCACTCCACTGCTGTCCCTCCACTGCACTGAGGTATTTGGTGAGAACTGAAATTGCTTTATGCAAGAAGAGATGGTGAAGACTCTAAGGAAAACATTGTTTTGTAGATGCATTTTTGACGGATGTCACGGTAAATGCTAAGCTTACTATTGTGTTTTTACACAATGCATTTCCTGTGACTACTTCATAGTTCTAGTTCCACCAGTTAAATGCTCTTAAAGTAAAGCTGCAACAGTATAGCATTAGCTATAACTTCATACAGACATTTATTTAAATGAAAACCTTCAAGATATATTAACTGAAGGTCCTTGTGAGCAAACTCCAAGAAATGTGGTTACAAGTTCTGAAAAAAAGGTAGTGAGCTAACAATGACTTGGGATATTTTTGTCACTCTAGTGCAGGGATACTAAACTTGCTTTGCAGAGGGTCTAGGAAGATCCTCCCCTGGCACCTTTTTTCCTTTTTTAACAACAGCTTATTTTACTACCTGTTTTTAATGAAATCTGGTGCCTTATTTGCATTCTAAGTACAAAAGAACATTCACAATGTGAATCAATTTATTTTCATTATGAATGAGAAAATGGTCAGCAGGCCACCAGGCACCAGGCTGTAAGTTGAGTATCTCTGCTCTAGTGACTAGAATTTGTTATTTTTGTCAAAATGCTATTTCCATGATAAAGTAAAAACTTTCACGCTCAACTTTAAAGCCAACATTAACAAGAAGGCTAAAATCCACAGAAAAATGAAAAAGATCCATTTGCTTATGAAGCCCCTGAGATGCTGTTGAAAGCTCCAAGTAAGTTACCCTTGAGTTAAAAAAAAAAAGTCAAACTAAGATTTCCAAGATCAAGAATGAATTTTAATGTTTATGCAAAGATGGAAAAGACTCCTAAAAGTGATCCCCTGCTAGTAAGTAGACCATGAGTTAAGATTTTTGTCAAAGTACTATTTCTAAGGTCAAGAATAAACCTCTAACCTCTGCTAATATTTTACACCACATCAGTTCTAAAACTAAATAATAACAGCAAAGATCCATTCATGGATGAAAACCATGAGATGTGGTTGAAAGCTCCAGTAAGAGCTTAACCTTTAATATAAAACATCATGTGCATCTCTATGACTTTTTTGCAGCTCAACATGAAGCTGAAAGGTTGAAAGGTTCTTTCTGGGGGAAAATGTTTTTGCTCTCATCCATCTAATCTAATGAAATGAGAATACAGCAAAGAAGTGGAGGCAATTGACTCGCCCTAGCTGTCAGTTCCTCTTGTTCCATCTAAGGTCACGAGTGGAGCCTCTCATGTCATTCTCACCTGCTGTGCTGAAGTAGCTTCTCAGTGTTTCTGACTGACTGGCCTAAGTTCAAGACTTGGCTCCTACTGCACAGAGCGTCCTCCGCAGTCTGTTAGTCATTAGAAATGCCTATTACGATCTAGGAAATGTGGGAATATACAGGTATAGATTCTAAGAACCATCAATTAGAATACCAGATGTGTGCTCCACTTAAGTAGACGCGAATTAGGGTCAAAGCCATTGGTGAAGGGGTATACCTTCCTCTTTTTCTGGCCATCTACAGTATACCCTCCTATCAGCCAAAAAGCCATTTGAAAATACAACAGAGTACATCCACTTTCTCCTCAGTATCCTGCATTTACCAAATACAACACCCATCTCATCAACATAACAATAAGATCCATTCAGACCTAGTGTCTGGGTAAGTAATACCCCAGCTGGACCAGTATGCAAATTTTTCCTTTGCTTTCTGATAAATCAAGCAAGAGCCTTACAATGGCTAATGAGCCACAACGTCTATAATTATACAGTATTATTCTATCATTATCGGTGCATTCACATGCTTGGCTGATAAAAACCTGAGCCAGTACCCCACAATCCTCAAAAGAACACGTCTCTCTAGTTCAATCAACAGAACTGAAAAGTCTGCTTGTGTTGAAGAACATAATGTGTTAAGCAGAGGTCTACTAAAATGGTAGGTAATAAAAAAAAAGCTTGGCATGAAACACTGATTCAAGATAAGAGGTTTATTAGGTGTAGAGAGAGGTGAAAACACTTACAGGAGGTCCTCTTGGTCCAATTATTGACAGACCAGGCTCACCCGGTGCTCCCTATAGACAGATAGAAAGAGGGAAAAAAGTAGGGAAATATTAATCCTCAAAATCTTTCACATGTATTCAGTACATTGATGCATTCCCACAAAGGTAAATATCTATAGCAGAGGGAAATACATTCATGCCATCTGTTTAACATATACTAGTCTACTTCTAATACATAAATACTTCCTGTAGACATGCAAAGAAATGTAAAGTTCTGGTCACATTAAAAAGTTATACAATGATCAGCATAATCTTGTGAAAAAGGCTATGGTGCTAGAGGATTGGTTGGTGGGACCTCTATTTAAAGGGTTAGTTGGTTAAAATCAAGGTTAAGTAAATCAGAGATTTGCGTCTTAACACATTAAAAATGTTAGAAAATAACTGCTGAAAATGTAAAAAAAAGTATCGAATCGTATGCCTCGGACCAAGCGGGCTTTACAGAGTCGCTTGATGATGCACTGGAGCCATCTTTATTAGAACTCCTCCTCTACACTATATAAACACTATCTAAGGTCTGCCCGTCCTGTTGCAAGTTACAACACTTAAGCCTGATTTATGGTCCTGTGTTGAATCGACGACGTCGCTACGTCGTTGCCGTGACACTGTCGTGAACCCTTCGAACTTCTCTGTCACTCAGTTTCGTCGTGGTGCAATTCACCGCCAGAGCGGTAGGGGGCTGCGTTCCTTTCCTGAGTGGTTATCGTCGTCTCTAGTTGATTCTTTGTTTAGCTTCCAGCTTTTCCGGTCACAGTGAACAATGGCGACCAAGAGAGAGAGAATCTTGCTGGAGTTGGAGTTGTTGAATGTCAAAGAAATTATGCTAATACTGCAACATCTACACTGCAACAGAAGAAGGAAGAGGAGAAGTAGGAGATGGGATGTGCGCCCATTGAACCAATCGAGGCAGAATACGGGCGAATTTTCAGTGCTTGTTCAACCTCTGCGAGACCTGGACGAAGAAATGCACTTCAGGTAACTATAGTTCTCGGGCATCATGCCTGATTTCAGACATAGAGCAGTCTCAAATTCATATGATACTTATTTCAGATGTCTTGTTACCATTGTTTTATTACGTGGTGTGTATTTAATGTTTTATGTAGGGCTAACGATGGAAATAAGCTTTCGGCTAAATCTGGTGTGCCCATCTTCTCGTTTCTTGTAAATGATCAATGCAAGCACATGTCCCTAAACTAACTAACTAAATAAATAAATAAAATAAATAGCTAGCCCATTTCCACCAGTAACATAAAAATAAAAAATCCCCATGCAAAGTCATAATTATGACATTTGAGTTTAAAAGTTGAAGTTATGTGATAAAATGTTATATAAAAAAGTTATAGTTTAGAGATAAAGTCAAAATTATGAGATAAAATGTTGAAATTATGAGATAAAAAGACATTTATGAGGTAATTGTGACCTTTTATCTCATAGTTTTGATTCATCATGGGGATTTTTTTTGCTTTTACTTGTGGAAATGTGCTTTCATACATTGTATACATTTTCTCCTGGACAACTTTTCAGGCTCACAAATCTTTTCTTTTTTTTTCTTGTTTGCTCCTGCAGGTACTTCAGAATGTCAGCAAGTCGATTTGATGATCTGCTTCGTTGTTTGCAGCCGCTGATATCTCACCAGAGCACACACTCCATGCCTGTTGATGCTGCCCAGAGACTTGCAGTCACTTTGAGAATTTTAGTGTCTGGTGGCAGCCAACAGGCTGTTGCAGCAAGCTACAAGTTGTACTCCAGCACTATGTCTGCTGTACTGTCAGAGGTCTGCAAAGCTTTATGGAGGGCACTGCAGCCTGAATTTCTTCCATGCCCTTCAACTAGCCAGTGGGAAGCTATTACTGCAGACTTTTGGCGATTGTGGAACTTCCCGAACTGCATAGGAAGCGTCGATGGGAAGCACGTCAACATAAAGGCACCGCCACGCTCCGGGAGTGACTACTTCAACTACATGGGTTATTACTCCATTGTTATGATGGCAACGTGTGATGCAAGGTATTGCTTTATTATTATTGTTATTATATTTATTATTATTTTTATTTTATTATTTTCATTAACAAACAAACAACATACAGACAGTATACAAGACAACAGCAAACAACAGAAGACCCAGGGGTTACATTACATAAAAAAGTTGTATTGGGTACATATATTTAGTGTTTTATTAGCCTTTAGATCAGTCACATTATTAAGTAACTCTAAATAATGCTCAGTTTCTTTCTGATAGGTATCGCTTCACCATGTTGGACGTGGGTGGATATGGAAGGGAAAGCGATGGGGGCATTTTCAAGGACAGCAAATTTGGTTTGATGCTGCTCGACCATGAGCTCAATCTGCCCGCACCAGCAAAACTCCCCAGAACAGAAGTCCAGATCCCCCATGTGATTGTCGGTGATGCTGCCTTCCCCCTACACTGCAATCTCATGCGTCCCTTCCCAGGTACGGCACAGACTTAATTTCACACTTAATTTTCTTTGTAATGGCCACTTACTTTTATTTGTAATTCATATGATTGTGACACAACAATGTTCTATTTATTAATACTCTACTGTCTACTTTCCTATGCAGGGACAAATCTGAGCATGGAGAAGCAGACCTTCAATTACCGTCTTTCAGGGCCAGGCGGGTTACTGAAAACAGCTTTGGAATCATGGTGGCAAGGTGGAGGATTCTTGGGCGACATGTTGAGTTCCTGCCAGAAAAGGCCGTGGATGTTGTAAAGGCATGTATCGTCCTGCACAACTACCTGGCCTACACCGACGAACTGAACACACCAGAGACCAGATACATACCACCAAGCTTTGCGGACTCGGATTCAGGTGGATCGGTGGAGCCTGGGGAGTGACGAAGACTGGTAGCAGGGGACTCAAATCTGGTGGGATCCATAGGTCCCTCACAGATGTCAAGGAGCCGTTCCACCAGAGCTGCCCAGGCTGTCCACAATGATTTGACTGCCTACTTTCAGTCACCGCAGGGAATTGTGCCATGGCAGAACGACATAGTGTGCCGTGGCACTCTTGGCTAGTACAGATCAAAGTCTGAATACTGAATGTACATTGAGTCACTGAGGAAAAACTGAGTCATGATATTATTGAAATTGCTCATACTGCTGTCATCATGTTTTGTAAATGGATGTTTTGGGAATAAACAAGTCCAAATGCATGCTGTGATAAATGTTTCTATGTATTCATAGTATAAATATTTTCATCTATGAAATATTCAAAATTATCATTATTTCCCAGAGGCCAATGCAACATTCCTTTTGAGTGGAGCAAAATACAAACAATTTTTTTCCTCATCCGAGTATTGTTTTTGTAATACCACTAACAACAGCTTTAAGTGATAACGAGAGAAAAATTCACATTCACGGTTCACATTTCGGGATGGTTAACATTGTTTTTCGTGATGATGATGAGAGAAATTAGTCTGGAGCCCTGGTTTTCAGAATAGTGTACTTTTTTTAACTACTATGTGAGTGTGAATAAATTTCAGTTGTGAAATGAACTTTACAACTTCAGGCTGTGTAAGGGCTATTTGACCAAGAAGGAGAGTGATGGAGTGCTGCGACAGATGACCTGGCCTCCACAGTCACCGGACCTGAACCCAATCGACATGGTTTGGGGTGAGCTGGACCGCAGAGTGAAGGCAAAGGGGCCAACAGGTGCTAAACACCTCTGGGAACTCCTTCAAGACTGTTGGAAAACCATTTCAGGTGACTACCTCTTGAAGCTCATGGAGAGAATGCCAAGAGTGTGCAAAGCAGTAATCAGAGCAAAGGGTGGCTATTTTGAAGAAACTAGAATATAAAACATGTTTTCAGTTATTTCACCTTTTTTTGTTAAGTACATAACTCCACATGTGTTCATTCATAGTTTTGATGCCTTCAGTGAGAATCTACAATGTAAATAGTCATGAAAATAAAGAAAACGCATTGAATGAGAAGGTGTGTCCAAACTTTTGGCCTGTACTGTATATATGTATATTCAATATTTTGGATTTTATGAGTTGTACCTCCCAGGATACGTTGCCCTATTAAGGTGTAAACAGAGCCCAAATGATAAACATATTAATGTTCAATTTGATGAAGATAAATGATAAATTGTTGTATTCCTTGGTCATTTACATTACACATAGTACTTTTAAAGTTGATTTTATTCATTTTTACCAATCCAGTTTAGTAATCTCATAACAAAGCAATCTCATAAAAAAAGTGACACAAAAATGGAACATTTCATGGTGAACATATTGAACTTTTTGTGCACTGAAGTTTACATAAAAAACAAAACAACATAGCAATTTCATTTTCTCAATTGATGCATACACAACTGAACACTGGAGAAAGTTTTAGGGGTCCAGGTTTTCCATAATGGTGGGAACTCTATGAACAATGCCCCTAATTTCCTCTGTCTATAGTTCATTTTTTGTGGAACGCTTGGAAGCAGTTGCATGGGTTTTTCCCGGTGACAATGCACAGACAAACACCACATTTTGTGCAGTAGATTGTTGTCTGTCCTTCTGGGCAGAGCCTGCACCTTCTCTTGTCTGTGAAAGCCGGGAAGTGATCCACTTGATCAACCATGGGTCTTGGGGTTGTTGGCCTTTGGATGCATCTGGTGGGGAAGGCCTTCTCTTCTTCTTTCCACTGTGGATAAGGGCATCTGCAACCTCCAGCCTGAATTCCTTGAGCTTTTTGTGCTTTTGCACACCAATGCTTTTGGCATCTCGGCAATACAGCTGCCATCCATTGTTGATGGCTATATCAGCCATTTGCCAAAAGAGGCACAGGTACCACTGGTGGGACTTTGCAGGGGTGCGGTACAAGGCCACCATCATGTCAACTCCTCCCATGTGGACATTGTACTGTGACACAATGTTTGGACAGGGAACAGCAACTCTATATCTCTCCTCTCTGGAGAAATGCCTGACTTCCTTGAGAGGGCTGATTGCAGCACAGGAGCTAGCTTAGGTGACAACTTTGTTATCAGAGCATTTTACAACAGCCACTT